ATGCGGAGTACGCACTCAAGAAGCTTGTAACAGTGAATTTTGAGACTCTCTTTGCAGAGCTGTCCGATCGCGTTGCTCTTTGTGAGCTACAGTTCCAGATGTGGATATAAAGACCTAACTTACTGCAAAATATATTTTAAAAATATGCTTGACAGATTTGAAACACTTAAAAGATACCGTAACTATATTCTCTGATGATTAAAATTTCTGCATTGCTCTTTGCTTGATTTTATAATTTACAGCATAACTTTGGCTGTTTATTCAAAACAAAAGCAAAAAAAAAAACCACCCTCAACCAACAACCAGGCAGTATCTTACACTTCTGCAGTGACCCCAGAGTCTAAACTTGCTATGCGCATGGAACCAAGCCTCACGCCCGGAGTGATTCATCCCACTCTACGGGGGAACTGGTTTGCCCAAACCACGCGACCGATGGGTAATGGGCTGGGGAACCGCGGCCAGACAGCCCGACTGCCTCCCTCTACTCTAATCGCTCCACCTCACTCCCCACCTGGAAGCGTTTCATTTTGCCCGACCCGCCAGCATCCTGTGCCGGACCGCATTACTCGGGGTGTAAACTCGTCAGGGCAGGAGCGGCTCTTTTGGCCATGTGTTTGCATGACATGAGCAACAACATAAATGTATACAAATGCCACCAGATCACAGCGCTGCCCGGTTCTATGACTGGCTTGAGAAGACAAACATATTAGCAGCACCAGAGAGATATCAAAAATTCATCATTACTGAAATAAAATATTATGACAGTTGCTCTATAGCATCCATTGGGGTACTATAGACTCAGTGTGCTGCACTGATGTAAAGAGATGGGATATATTTCATGTGCATATTCACGTATATTCACATATTTCACATATTTCAGGTTAAATATTGATGCACTTGGAAACTGCATAAGGGGTCAGTGAATTTGTGCAGGACATTACATGTTGGACATGCCCGACTCTGCTGTGACCATATCAGTGAGAAGCAGAGTCATTAATTTAGTCCCACGGGAACCCAAGCTTGGCACTGGGCAGGGCGACCTGTCCGCTCAAGATATGGAGGGGCAAAAAGGAACGAATTTATCTGGGGCCTCGCTGGACACGGAGGGAGAGGGACGCTTGGCTACTGAAACAAGAGTTCAAAAGCAACTGATTTTTGGACAAGAACAAATAACAGAGCCCTTCCTTCATCCCCAGCGCTGGCTGCACGCTCAGAGCCCAGGCGTGCCCGCCAACGGCTGACACAGCGCGGGAACCCGGGCCGTGAGCGGAGCCTGGGGACGCCCTTTGCCAGCAGGGCCGCAGCCCAGGGGAAGGTGGCGAAGCCCGAGGACATTGCTGGGGAACCATGCGGAGTCCTTTCCTCACTACTTCACCAAGCAGCAAAGCCCCGGAGCTGAAACTGCAGCTCAGCAGCAATGGGATGGAGCCTGCGAACTGCGATACGCGCACGCTTAAAGCGGGGCACCCTTCGCCGGCCAGACTGCAGGGCTCCCTCTTTAATAAAGATCAAAGCCCCAGCTGGTGCATTACAAATGCATCAGCAGAGCAGAAGTGTTTCTCATGCAAAACCTCCTCGTTTCTTCCACATTCCCTGGGAAGCCTCGGATGGCTGGGACTGCAGCGGCACCCCGGGAAAGCAGCCTTCGCTCTGGGGGAGACGGGACTGCCCCACCTCGGGGTGCAGAGACCTGCGAGCAGCCAGGCTCCCGCTGCCCGAGATCAGCGCTCGTCCTTCTCCCCACCTGGCAGCAGGAGGCGATTGCGCTGGCTTCCCTCAGGCATTTTCTTGAAGGCAATCAGCTCGCAACACAGCTTTAATCCTCGTATTAGGACTTGGGTTTCCTTGCTGGGTCAGTCCTAACGCCAGCATCGGCCCACACTTGCACACTGGAGCGACCCAGCCTGGCCCCCGCCCGTCCTCGCCCACCGCAGGGCCTGCCCAGCCCGCG